ATACGTCAGTTTTCTTGAAGGAAAATCCCCCGCGAAAATGCACCCTACGCCGTATTCGGGTGAAGTACAAAACCAAGCCTCTTCCATCTCCAGGATATGGAGTGCAAAGATAGTGAGAGTTTATATATAACCTCGCCCTTTGATGTCAGAAAATGACGTGGACAAACACTGAAGGTTTTGTAACTCTTAAATGCTCACGACTCATCAACCGATCTCTCGAAGTAGTCAGCGAGTTACTCACCTCCTCTCAATCGGATCAGCTCAGGCTCGTATGGTTCTCCAATACCATAGTTGTACCCGTTGACTAGGGAGGTGAGATTGCGAAGTCGCCTTGAGACCTCCTGGGTCATCCATTCCGGCTGGCTCATATTGTAAATAGTCTAAAGAAGTTACTGAAGGGATTGATATTTGCTTCATTCTACTAATAAAGTTTGCTTTATTACCTCAATGTGATGAACGTCGTTGATGAAGGAAGATGTTCCTCAAGTCAACTTTCATTCCCGTATTCTTCGAAAGATAATCGAGGAAATCCTGCAAAAGGAAAGGGAGCTTGAAATCTTCTCTGAGGTTAAGCCTACGATGGCCATTACACTTTAGTGAATAGTCCTTTGCCTTATTGTCCTCCTCGATTTGCTTGTATTCTTTGCTGTTTCGTAGCTCCTCATCCAACTGATCAGCACGAGGGCACGGAGCGAACACATTGCCAGCCTGAACAGCGTCGACAGTGTCCCGCTATCGAAGGATCATCTCACGATGAATTTCATCTCGTAGAAAAGCTGATCGCATAGTGAAAAAGTAGGTTAAAACGACATTGCCGAGCTCATACTTCGCGATAGACATCTAGCGCAGGGCACATCGTTGTTGGGGAATCCCCAACAGGGAGGGGGTCGTATTTGGTCGCCAGGAAAGGGGGGTCGTATTTGGGCTGAGAAAAATTTATTTTGATAGTTGATTTTTCTTTCACGGACGTTGTTAAAAATGGGGGGGGTCGTACCAACCCCCAAAAAAAGGGTCATACGAACTCGACAAAATCCCCAACCAATGATGTGACCTGATCTAGCGCGCGACCCTGGTAGCGTTCCACAGGACCACTTGGACTGCTAGTTCAACTATTATTCTGAATATGATAGGACTAGCAGTTGCAGCTGTACTAGAGGAAATGAGAAATTTGTTGTATGTGTCCAGAAGAAGGCTGCTGGCACTTACATGGTCTTCGTCACCTGGAAGTGTATGCACAGGAACTGGAGTCCAACCGGTAGGCCAACTGAAATGCATGCACTACTGAAAGTGAATAGAATATGTTAACAACAAGTTCGAAAGGCTTCAGAAAAACATTATATACTTCAAAAGCACTTGTTGCAGATGAAGAAAGATTATGATGTATACTTTCAGAAAGCGACTTGTTGGCAGATGAAGAAGAGTTTTTGATGGTACTTCGTTAGCGCACCTAAACGCCCCAAGAACGGTCTTGATTATAGTCGCAGGCTCGCAGTGAGTTGTCTACTTTCTTAAAGTGGACGGGAATGGGCCGCGATGCATTCAAGTACTGTTCCCATACTGCGCCAGCGCTATTCTCAAGGTGCAACTTTTGTTTCGATGCGAAGGTCTCGCAACGAAACACCCACACAGGGGTAGAGAACAGTAAGAGGTGAGATAGCGCAGACAAGTAATGCGTTGACTATGACTAGGCGCCTAGCTGGCCGTGCTGCTGCGGGGTAGAAACAGCACCAGGGTATCACCACCTACCAGCCTCATTCTCATGCATTTTGGATCGGAGAAAGCGGCATCGTTCTCCTCACCTACGGCAAGGACTAGCAGCATGAAGGTGGTTGGTCAGTTTGTCGCTGAACCATCGACTTTCTACCATTAGTCAGAATTTATTACTCACTCTGTTTCGTTTGGGAAATCCTTCCCAGCTTCTCCACCAGCAAACATTCCGGCAATGTTGGAATAAGCAGAGATTAACGTCCGATTCACGTCTGTAGATCGAATGTATACCTACAAGGAATATAAAAAAATAATAGTGGCCAACATTGAAACGTTTTAATTAATCATGGGAAGTTGCATTGCTTTCTTTTTACCTGTTTGGGGTTATACCTCTTCTCCATGAACGGATTCGTTCCAGTCATATAGCGTCTCCGCAGAACATTGCCCAGTGCGAGTTGCTGAGACGCGTCGGACGCATTCGCCTAAGCTGAAATTGGCAAACGTTTGACCGGGATTATGCTTTCATACATTTGATAGGATTGTTACTTGGTTTTCTCTCCTGTGCGAGAGAGAGGGTGTTCCTCGGCAGAGGAAAGTGATGCCGTCAACAGATCAACAGGGATAGCATGCCGTACACTAACTGTGCCAGGTAGCACTTTCATTCCTCCAAAGCCGCTTACTTGGCACCATACTTATGTGGGAGGATGAATTCATGACCTTAACCCCGTAAGTCATTGAATAGGCAGAATCGGATAGCACTGCCACTACGTCTCTGAGAAGCAGAATACGCGACGCATCTCAAGAAGAGAGTGACCAAAGCTGAGAAGTTCATCCAATTCTCCTCTGAAGCAGTTCGGCCTGTAGAATAAAAATGAAACAGTATATGTCCTTCGGAAAGTCAGTAGACTACGTGATCCTATTTTTATGCAGAAAGTGGTCTTATTTTTATGCTTCGCATAAAAATAAGATCTTTCATGGGTGGCGATTGCTGTGCCTTTCAAATACACACCGTTCAAGACCACTTCTGCAATCGCGGATGCGATTTCGCGCCTTCTCAATGACTTGTAATGATCAACCAGCTGGTGTCAGACTCGCCTTCCCCGACAACCAAGTACCACTGCATTAGTGGGGACACTGTCTTGTTCGTTGGCGGATGCCCTGGAACTGCCAGAGTGTTAGGTCTCAGCCGGGGCAATTTAGCCACCGTTTCGCCTCCATGTATGGAATGAGGGGTAGCCACAGACGAAGCACAAAGCCGGTTCTTCTGCCACGCCCAGCATATGCACCCGAAAAGACTGTTTTGATTCAGACAACGAGTAACATCACCATTTCAGTCACTTTACATACAAATGTGGCAATGATCTGCTGATCTCGGGATGAAAATTTCAGGTGGAAGATGATATTGCGGATGCGCGACGTCGCTCAGATTGTTTCTGCATCTCTACCATGCCGTTTCTTACTGCCGAAATAAATCAGCTATGATAGTCCAGCATATAGTATACTTCGATAATCCCGTGAGTATCGGGTAGGCGCGTGCCGCAATGTTTGAACGTAACTTGAAGGTGTCTATGCTTTCCTGGTGAGATATTTTTCATCTAGCCTTGACTACAGCTGTTGTTCGTGTCTGGCTTTCCAACACAGAACAGAGGTATAAAAAAAACAGTTGTCCAGACGAATTTCCGCGAAGTAACCAGTTCCGGCGCTATGTTCAATTGCCACGCCCACTCTGGCTCGGGGATAAGGAGTGTAGTTCACATCTACCAGTTAGGACCCACGGATAACCTGAACTTATTTTCCTTGCTCGTGCCCATTTCCTGTTTTCTCTATAGTCTCTCATCTGCGCAGCGTTCTCTGACCGCTGTGATCACATACAGACCAGTGTTTCCCGCACGCTAGGTGGTTCGGCCACCCTGGAAGCTGCCCCTTTTGCAATAATATCCCGGACTCGGATCACACGTTTTTCGTAGCATGCCGATGCTATAGCACCCACTGCCTCTTTTGCTGTCTGCTGTTTTTAACAGAAGCATGCAGATAAGTTCGAGCTATCACGAAATCAGCGGCCAATCGGGGTCATGCCCAGAGGCGTGGAATGAGCGACACCTACCCGCTGCGTTTTTCTAGACCAATCATTTGCCGTGTTCAGTGAGAAAACAGACAGTGCTAAAAGATGCTACGGGTTGGCTCATTTCCATGCCTTCTGACTGATGGCTAGCTCTGGTTAAATGCGCCGGAAGACGGGCAAGAGAACCGTAATTTGGGGCAGATTGCCGAAGCGCGAGGCGATAGGGCGGCGTTCTCTTAGCTCGTATTAACCTGTCGATTAGGACACCGAACTTCATGTAGACGGGTATGTGACAAGAGGATCGTAATTCGCCGCGCTGCTGGGCGTCGCATGCGACGTCTCGTCTGCAAAGGACGATGGTTCCAGGTAGTAGATGGCTACAACATGCAATTAAGGACCGAAAACAGTAATGACTGTCTACGATGACGGGGTCTACATGAAGTCCGGTGCTCCATTCGAC